TGAGGTCATGTGTTGTTACTGCTTGTATAGTGTGTTTTTTCTGCACACAGCTCATGAACATTAGTCTGGGATGCTGGATGGTTTGGGGGGAGGGAAGCATTCTGTGACATGAATCAATTGTAGGATTACAGGAGGATTATCTTGGTGGTGGATTGGGTAAACTCATTAAACACCAGATAATGATTCTATGTCTCTGGGTAAAGAATAACATGGAGACAGCATGTGAAGTATTTCAGCTTACATCAAAACAGAGCTGGACATGGATACTTTTAAAGAAGTGTACTTTAAACTTGGTCTCAAGCACACTTTTTAAAAAGTCTCCAATTTAAATGTTTAACTTCCTTGATCTTTTATTTCTAGTTCTAGAAGACTTGTGTAACTGTTTTACAGCTTAGGGGAATGATGATACCATGACCACAATCTGTTTAACCTGCCTCATCCTGACTGCTGCTACAGGGGCTGTGGCATGCTACCTTTCCTGCTCGATGAAATGCATGTCTCAATTCCCCAATATGGGCAAAAGAAGTGGTTTATGCTGTCTCAGACAGGCATGCCTGTCTGATGTTTCCCTAGCATTCTAAAGATGTTTTCCAAGTTAGTCTTCCTGTTATATGGCAAATGTCTGGTGTCTTTTAGGGAAGCGAAAGGTCTTAAACGTTTTCTTTCATGTAAACTTGGGAGGGAAGCGTGCGTCCTGAGCTATAGGTTAATGTATTGAAGCTGTAATTCTTATTTCTCATACTGGTCATAAGAACTTTAGGTCTTAATATTTAGGGCATAAAATAACTTTAACCTTCAAATGTTAAGCTAATGTCTTCTTTGAGGCTCTGGGTTTAATACTGCCTGTCTTGAAATTAGTTTCTAGAATGAAGCTTGATGAGTCAATAAACATAGTAGCTGCTAGTCAGGTACTTCAAGAGAAAGCATTAAAACTACCAGGAAGAAATAAATCTCTAGGGAAGGTAGTAGGCTTTTGAGCTTAACTCTGAGGAATAAGGAAGAGGTGTGTTACTGAAAGAGAGAACAACCATAAGACTGGTAGGATGGTAGTTAAAGAGGTCCACTGTTGCGTTTTTTTTTTTTTTCCCACTAGTAAGCATCTTGCGAGTTAATAAAGCAAAGACTGGCTGAAAAAACTAATTAGAAGAAATTTTCTCTAGTGGATTGTTTCTTTGGCTATTCAAAGCTGTCTTACTGCAGGCAAAGTAGAGACAAGATGCTGTCACCTACAGTGGTTTTAGTAGTCATGTGAGATAGTGTACAAGAAAGTATTGGCTTAGCCAGAAGTTCGCTTTGGTTTTCATTGCCTCCTTTGTTTGGACAGTGGGAATGCTCTAAATCTTATTGTAATGTACCCTTTGGTTGGAGGAGGGGAGGCTGTTCTAAAAATACCCTTTCTTCCTCAGGCAGGTGATCTGCAGCCATGAGCAGCAACGAGTGCTTCAAGTGTGGACGTACTGGCCACTGGGCTCGCGAGTGCCCTGCTGGAATTGGCCGCGGTCGTGGGATGAGAAGCCGTGGCAGAGGTGATTGATCACTGTGGTTTTCAGCTTGCTTGTACAGCAAGATCTGCAGCTGACTGTCCTGAATAGTGTGTAAAACTGGCTTTGTTAGTCTGAAGTAAAGAAGTTAGGACACAAACTGGTACTAAGTTCTGTTGGTTCTTACTTCTGCGTAAGAATTTTGCCAGATGCCTCCCAAGAGTGAGGTTACCTTGTCAGTTCAACTGAGTAACCTTGTCATTTACTCAAGTGTCCTTGAATAACTCTTCAAGAATATTCTGAACTTCATTTTTAATCCTTTTTTCTCCCATTGCCCATTTCAAGCAGGCTTCCAGTTCATGTCTTCATCTCTGCCGGATATCTGTTACCGCTGCGGTGAGTCTGGCCATCTTGCCAAGGACTGTGATCTTCAGGAGGATGGTAAGTATCACTAAATATTCCATCTCTTCAGCCACAGTCTGTGGGTGAAGGGAAGGATCACAAGTCACTGGAGAGGAGCTGTGCATATCCTTCATTAGGAGCATGCTACCTCTCACTCTACCAAGGTTTTATAGTCTTGTTTGGTATGTTTTCTTATTGTGGAAGCCTGCTATAACTGCGGCAGAGGTGGCCACATTGCGAAGGACTGCAAGGAGCCCAAGAGGGAGAGGGAGCAGTGCTGCTACAACTGTGGCAAACCTGGGCATCTGGCTCGGGACTGCGACCACGCGGATGAGCAGAAGTGCTATTCTTGTGGAGAGTTTGGACACATTCAAAAAGACTGCACCAAAGTGAAATGCTATAGGTAAGAACTGACAGACAAGGGGAGGTTGTACCTCAAGGGATAGATGCATTTTCTATCTAAATTTTGGTTAGGAAATTAAGCTTTGACCAGGTTATTGCTTCTTAAAACAGTCGTCCGCTGTGACTCAAAACTAAACCTTAAAAACCCTGTCGGCAAAGTCCAGTGATTGATGTAAAGATGTGTATCTCTAGGTGGCCAGAACGATGCAGGTGTTAAATCACTTCACTTGTGCAAGGGAAAGTTGTGTGTAGCTTCTTACAGAAGGTAGCAGGAGGTACTTGCCTGCAGCAGAAACCTTGGCTCCCTGGGTCTTGTGCTGGAGCTGACAGACTCCAGCTGTAGGGATCATCTGACTGACACAGCCAGCCCTAGTGGGAATACACTGGAGAGGTCTTGGTATAACCAAGAATTCCACATGGAAGTGGATGTTAAACAGTTGGAAATGCCAACTTCATAAAGCTTTGAATGTAGGCCTGGACCAGAAGCAGGGTGGTCCTGAGCATAGTGTTCTTCTCCCCCACCAAGATTCCTTTCTGTGGAGGCTGGGGAGAGAGCACGGTGCTTTTGAATTAAAACTAATTGCTCTCAAAACAAGGCTAAGCTGCAGACAGAAACACTGGAGCAGGCAAAATCCAAAACAGCAGAAAACCCCCAGACTTCTGTATTTAATATATGGTGGTTTTAGCATATGCAGTGACTAAAGTGAGTTGATAGTTGAGGAACAGTTTCTGGCGCTGAAGACAAACTTTGTGACAATTCTGGCGTGTTGCCTGAAACTTAAATACATGATACACTGAACAGAATAGGACTGCTTTTCTGAGTGACTCCTCTGGATGATTTTGATGGAAAGTCCTTTCCTTTTTGCAGGTGTGGTGAAACTGGCCACGTAGCCATCAACTGCAGCAAGACCAGTGAAGTCAACTGCTACCGCTGCGGCGAGTCAGGGCACCTTGCACGGGAATGCACAATTGAAGCTACGGCCTAATGAGCTCCCTTTGTCGCCCCTCCTTTTTCTGATTGATGGTTGTATTATTTTTCTCTGAATCCTCTTCACTGGCCAAAGGTTGGCAGATAGAGGCTACTCCCAGGCCAGTGAGCTTTACTTGCCGTGTAAAAGGAGGAAAGGGGTGGAAAAAAAATCAACTTTCTGCATTTAACTACAAAAATGTTTATGTTTAGTTTGGTAGAGGTGTTATGTATAATGCTTTGTTAAAGAACCCCCTTTCCGTGCCACTGGTGAATAGGGATTGATGAGTGGGAAGAGTTGAGTCAGACCAGCAAAAACCCTCTCTGGGTTACATGGAAGTGATTCTATGCAGGAGGAAAGAAATTCTGGAAGTGTCTAAACTTCCTCATAACTTTAATTTTATTACAATGGCCTTGGATTGTCTGACCTCAGTAGCTGTTAACACCAAGTAATATCTGTATCAGGCCCTACCTAGAGCTTATAGCTGAGTGGGAGTAAACAAAACAAGATGCACATGCCTGTTAATGGCCACGAGAGAGAGAGAGAGAGAAAACAGGAATAAACTTAAAAGTTACAGTAATTCAGTCAATGAATGTTCACGTTGGAGATACAGAACGTATTGGGAAGCTTTTGAATAAATACTTCAAAGTCAAATCTGAATCCCAGACATCCGTGCTCATAGTGCATACAATTTGGAGCTATTCAGGAGTTGCAAATAAGTGAATTTTCACAGAAATCAAGATGTTATTTTTGTATACTATATCACTTAGACAACTGAGTTTCATTTGCTTGTAATCAGTTTTTAAAGTAAGATGGTAAAAGCAAAGTCCTAGAACATAGAAAATGTAATTTTAAACTATCAATAAAGCTGGAGGAGGAAGGGGAGTTTGGCTAAAGTTCCTTTTGTTTATTTTTGGTTTTCATGTACACAGTGCAAAATAACATTAAAAAGGGGTATGTGGAGGTGTAAAAAGTTTAGTTTGGACTTTTCTTTTGTACTGTCTTCTGTACTTAAGATTCCATCCAGCTGTATCACACTGCACAGTGGAGTCTGCTGTCCTGTCTGTCAGACCTGAGTCTCTGCTGATGGGTGTGGGGGGCCTGGGTCAGCTCAGCTGTGCTGATGCAGCTGAAGCATTTCTTTCAGAGTTGCTGAAGCCACAGAAGTTGTTGGGAGTGGGTTCCAAATCTGGAGCAGTTTAATGGTCTGTTAGCAGTCCTTTACCCTTCCCAGGTGTCATCACACTTACCTAAAGCATTGGGTGTTGCAGGGACTTCCCATTCCCGTATGGATTGAGTCTCTCAGATGAGAAAGGGCCTGATGCAGTGTCTTGAGCACACCCACTCCAGGCGTGAGTGGAGTTTTCCTGGGGAGTTGTTGACTGGTCAGTGTCAGTGTGCCAGGTGACACTGGCAGCAGCTGCTGCACCTCCTGAGCTCCATCGTGGGGAGTCTTGTCCAGTTGTGGCCAGGGTTGGTCAGGATGTGTTTGTATCTTCACACACACAAACTTTCCTCAGAGTCCCAGGCTGCTTTTTGTAGGCTGTGGGGAAAAAACTGCCTGTGCTGTTGGGAGTGGAATTGTGTGGGTCTCTCTTTAGAGAAGTATCAGACCCATCATCTTACAGCTAAGCCAGAGTAAAACTAAACTGGTGCCATTGCTTGTCTCCTAGAGCTGGGGTGTAATTAACCAGTTCAGTATCACATGAACATGTTAACAGTTACTTAGGAAGCAAGGCTGTTCAATATGGTGCAGTCCTGCCCCTGGAAGTTGTGGTCTGCCAGGAACAACCTGAGCTTGTGCCTTTCAGCAGAACACGGGGTGTGGGTGAGATGTGGAGAGGAGCCATGGGAGCTCCTTGGTCGATGAACTAGGAGATCCCAGTGAGGAGACTTACCCAGGAGTGTTTGAAACAGTAAAATCAGCACTGTTGCCTGGTTGTGGTTGTTTTCAGGAAATCGGGGGCCTGAAGTGTGTCCAAGAAAATGGTGATGGTCATAGTGGCCATGTCATGTCAGGTGAGCTCTGGTCAGACTGCCTGGGCTGCACTGGGCTGCTGTAGAAATCTGGAGCTCCTTAACTCTTAAAGGTTTATAAAGAACTGAAGCTTTCAGCCTGGCTTTGATGTTCAAAGCCTGTGGGAAGTGTTGAGCTCAGGAAGAAAAAAAGAGCTGCTTAAAATACGAAGTGACTGGAGCCCAGGTGGCCTGGCTGGCAGCAGCTGAGCTGGTTTTGGAAGGGCTGGGGTGGGAGGAAACGGGCTGTTGGAAGAAGTCTCTGCTTCAGGCAGTGTTCTTGGGGAGAAACCCAAACGTTGGCTTCTGCCTGGCCAGTGTGACACACAGATGTAGAAGGATCCAGAGAGTGTAAAACCCACGGGAGGGGTCGCAGTGGGCGCGGCCAGAGAACCACGGCCCGTTGTCCCACCTGGAGAACAAACCCGGCACTGAGGGAAGAGGTTCCTGCTGGGGGGGGGGGGGGGGGGGGG